GTTCCTAAGTAAAGGTTTAATTACAGTGACCTTAAAGCTGTGTGGTCTTCTATTGTATTCCCTGGCAAGCACATTTTTTTATTAATTTATTAAATTATGTATTTCTTTATTTTTTTGATTTTTTCTGTTTTACAAAATGTGGCTGTGAATAAAGCAWTCATGTTGGCATAAAGTTGCCATGTATTAAGAATATTTATTCAAATAGTGGAATATTTATTTGTTAAAAAAAACTTACAYAAATGGCTTAATAGTTTGACCCTGACTAATCGGCTGAATTAAAGATTGTGTTTTCTTTTGTTTGTKTCGAATTATGMAAATCCAACCATTTTCAAACTTGCTGTAATCACATCTTACGATGTTCCTTGTAGTTTTAAGAGGTTTACTTGCAACTTTAACTCTCCTTTCGGGGGCGGTTCTTGGCAGACTAACTATCAGGAAGGTTATAAGGGCAAACACAACACATTGTAACAAATTAAATGCACTCAGTTTGCATGCACACACTGGTGTGTGGATGACTTTTGTGATAAACAGATTTTTGTTTTTTAGTTAAGCTATATCAACATTAAGTCAAAAAGAGATGCTCAAGCACAATATTTTTTAAAAAGATTATGTGTATAAATTGCTAATCGTTTAAAACTTATAGAAAATGTTGCACTATCTGAGGTTGGTTTATATTTAGAAAACTAAAAAAGTAGAAAAAACATATGTAATTTTATTTTTAGCWTTTTTTCATTAAAAAGGCATTGCAAAGTGCTTTACAAAGAAATTGCAAGAGTTATGTACGTGAAAAAGAACATAAAACCATAAATGTCRTTAACTTTATCAGTAACAATCATAATGTAACATAAAATATCTATTCATGAAAGTTTTGCAAACACTATTTGTACATTTTGAACAAAAATAAAGAAACATTCTATAATGAAAAAATAATCATATACAACACATACATCTTGTTTTGTTTGTGGCTCCTTTTCTGAGCAATTTCATTTTTCCCTAAATTAAAGCATCTATTGTAATCAGAGAAAGTCTGCACTAATTTAGTTTCATCATTTTACTTATTTACTTTTGGAGACTAGAACCTGTCAATTTATGACAAAGTTGCTGCTATACAGGAAACTTGAATTAAGGAAGTTGTGCTCACAAATTTAGACAACCGAAAGCATTCCCTTTGAGAACACAGTCTGTCATCTCAGCTCCGAAGTTCATCCTGTTCCTCTGGGTGGAATGATAAGAAGACCTCTATTAACGAACAGATGAAAGAACCATAAATGTCATGTTCTCCTAATATATTCCACATGGTTTTCTATCATTAAAGAGCAGACCCAGGTTTTATCTTCCTTGGTTTGAACTTTATTTCGCTCTGATGTTGTTGTTGGAGGATTTTTTTTGTTAAAAGTCCATCAGCTGAACACAGAAAATCAATAAAGCAGTCACATCGACACAGCGTAAGCATTTCATTGTTTASCACAGAAACAACACAGAGCTCCAATTATTTACACTCCAGCTCCTGAATTCTGCCTGAAATGCAGAGAGAGAGGGAAAAAAATTCTCTAAAAGAAAGATAATGGGAATTTGGGGACATATTCATGCTTTGCAGTTTTGCTACTGCTACAAAAGAAAAATATTCTCTAAGTTCAGCTTTGCCAGCACCTTACTTCTTTTGCTCATAACTAGAAACATGAATCTCTTCTCTATATGTGGTTATCAGCAAAAACATTGCTTTGGACTTACTTTGAAGGTTTAATAATGCAATGTTATGATGTACTGTATATTTCTGACCACCTGATTTTATGTGTGAAACATAGTAAAGTGTTCACCTTTTCTTTCCTCTATCCAGGTAACTCCCCTTCAGAAGAATCTGAAGAGCGCGACAAGGAGCCCAGGACGCTGACCTATCCGGCTTACATCGCCAGCCTCCTGGACACGGGCGCTAAGCGCATGGCGGCAGGTGTCAGGATGGACTGCAGCAGCCAGGGCCAGTGCCCCCGCTCCTGCCACCTCTGCCACATGAGCCCGAGAGTGGCACAAGGCCGGCAGCAGTCTGAGCCTGTTCTCCTGAAGATCACCAAAGCTGCTCCTATATATGAGCTGGTCTCCAACAACGAGACCTATCAGGTGTGGAAACTTGTTTTGTTATACCTTTTCTTGAAACAATAACAAATGAAAGGGATAGCATTTTTTAAAAGAATGTATGTCAATGCCCACTTTTCACACCAAAGTTTTAAACTAAAACCATCTTATGAAGGGAACGAACAAAGTTTTTGCTGTTTTGGTCAATCCTTGAGATATTGCAACTTCCCATGTGATCTGTTTGCACTTGGTTTTAATATTAATGACTCTCAGCAACTACCACCCTAAGCCTAGGTCAATATTTGTAAAACTAAGGTATAACAATTGTTTATGTTGGCTATGGTCAATTAGCTGTGAAGGCCATCTTGAACTGATTATAGGAAAAAAAAATACTTTCTGAGAGTTTCAGTAAAATCTTTCCAGTGATTCAGAAAGTATTTTGCTTACAGAGAAACAGAATTAACTGTCGTTGTTATTGGGAAAGTCTWAGAAACAGATAGTGTGTAAGTCTTTAGTGCTCAGAGTGTGTGTCGAGGATCTGTATCAGCTATTGCCTGACCAAATGTTGGCTCATTATTGATACCATTTGTTGAGTTAATAACCACTTTTGTGTTTGATAAGTTAGCTTAGTGGTGGCAGCCATCTTGGTTGGGCTTAACACCACAGGTTGTTCACTTATACAGTGATCCCTCATTTTTCACGGGGGTTGCGTTCTAAAAACAACCCGTGATTGGCAAAATCCATGAAGTAGTTATGCCGGTACACCGGGTTCCTACCGAACGCGTTTTGAGCAGCAAAAAATGCACCCAACGCCTTGGACGCACTGAAGCGCGTTCGGTGTTGAACGCAGCAACGGACTAAACGCACGTCTGAAGAGGGAGGAACACCAGTCTGTCTTAATGACAGGTGAAATAAAGATAAAATAAAGAAAATTGCTTTGATTTATTTACGAAAGAGCAAGCGAACATTGCGCACACCAGATAATTAATTCACCAGATAATTTAGAGGCGATTTGTTGCGAGCTGACAGACTTTTTTTTGCAGCGCCTGCTGCAAAGCAGGAGAAATGGAGATCGAAAAAAGTCCAGAACTTATTTCTAGCAGCAGAACAGGTTGGAAGATGGTTATTTGGTGTTATTTATTGTTTTGTTTTTTTTAATCATCCTACAGACTCTGACATGTTGATAGCCTGTTGAGCACAGAGACTGTTTAGCCAATCAGGACGAAGAGCACAATGCGCTGTGAAAAAATAAACTGCACAAAAGAAATCCGTGAAGCAGCGCGACAATGAAAGGTGAACCTCGTTATAGCGRGGGGTCACTGTATATCCAGTGATTGCATTCTGAGAGCTTCATTAAATCTGCTGTTTTGCTACTGTTACATTTTTTATAACGAACAAACACATATGCGCACACACATAAGCAAAGGCACAGACAGTAGGAATCTGGGTCTATTGGTTAGGCGACCAGTGTTTATGTTGGTTTTTTTACCATATTAACTTATAGATTTTAACATAAACACATGTTTATTTTTTATATCTTCTGCTTATCATGTGTTTAGTCAAAATACTTTCACTTTGATGTTTCTACCATTTTTCGCATTAAGGCTGTAGCTTTTTGCCTGAAGACAGCAGCYAATACTCCAGGCATGTGTATGACAGTGTGATCATTAAACCACACTGAGTCTATTAACTGGCACCCTGCTATGAAGCCCTCCGAATCTACACAACTGTATCTGTGTGAGATCCAAAACCTCGCGGCGTCATCATCACGTAGACGGAGAATTTTACAAGGAAGTATTTTCCTTTCAGAGTATCACAGCTTTCAATGCTGCGAGCGTGCCATGCCGTGATCCGCCATACTGTGCGGAGACTTATTTGACTCCATCAATATTGTACGTCGATAACACCTCTACTCCTCTGGCAGGATGAAAGAGTCGATACGGTCCTGTCCACGTCTCAGAGCTTTCATCTGTATGCTCAGTCAGTCAGACCCAGCAGCTGGTATTGATGGAGGCTTTGGAGTTTGCTAGTGCTTGACTGTGCAGATGAAACACAGAGGCAACAGTTAGAATCTACTTGAATCTATTCATTCTGTCGTCCTTCTACTCATGCCTGAATCACATCCCGAACGCTTATTTCATTAACACTCCCCACTGACATTCAGACAAGTATCGCTTGTGCTGAAATGTTTCTGTAACCACTGGAATCAGTGCAGCAGAGGTCGATTTTTGGAACCGGTTCCTGACTTTAATGAATTTGGRCAAACTATTAATTCTTGCACGATTTATTTTAGAGTTTTGTTTACCTGGTAGTTTGAGAACCTGAAACTCAACCCAAAGGGTTTGTGTCAGATATCCACAACAAATCAAATGTGTGTAAAACACTGCAGTTTTAAACTGAAAATGTACRTTTTGATTAAGCTGTGACTAACTTTAAATTGACATAAAAATGCTTTATTAAATTGTTCAACTTAATCAGAATACAGGACCCATGCTGGCAACATTTTTTTCCAGTAATAATTTAATATTAATTTCAAGTTCTACATCTCAAAAGGTAAAAAAAATACCTTGTTGAAATAAAATCAACTAATTTTTTGTTTGTTTTTTGTCTTTTTTTTTTCATTTTGCACTGTAGTGTAAAGGGCCAAGCATTACCAAAAGTAAAACAGTACATGTTCCTTTTGTGCCATTTTTAGAGTCCATCCTATATTAAAATAAACGAGTTGCAGCCTTTTATTGTCAACCTTTTGAAAATAATGTCAATGTTTAGAGAAGGTGTTGGGAATGACTCTCAGCTACCATCATATGAAATTTTAACTCATTATTTGTAAAAACTGATTGAATTTGAGCCATTTTGTTTTTTCTAAGTTTTGGAGTCACTTTGAGTTGCATTAGCTCCAAAGGGTTATCAGTTGAAGAGGCATCTTTATTACTTATTTCCAGGAAACTTCATTGAAATCTGCTTCATGCTTACATATGACATTGATGCCAAATAGTGATTGGTAACTTTTAAATGAGGATCTTGTGTAATCTGTTGGCACTCAGATATGATCCATGCTGCTATCAAACCAATTTTTAGGTCAGTATCTTAAAAAAATAATGACTGAGTTATGGTCATTTATTTATTTATTTATTTTATTTTTTTTGTTTTGTTTTGTTTTTATTTGATCGTGGCAGTCATCTTGAATCTATTTGACTCCAAACACTTTTTTTTTGGTTGTAGTTAAATATGCAGTGAATACTAGCTGGTTCAGTTTCATTAAATCTTGTATGTCCATCTGTTATGAACACATAGACATTCAAACATGCACACACTTAAATACACACACACCGTTGGACAAAAACATTGTCAGTGGCAARCCATAATTATAAATATAAATAAATGGGAAATGGTTGTTTAATAATAATTAACATTTAAAAGGAAGATATACAAAATCTACTCTTGTAGCCGTTAAGTACATTCTGTTGTGTACTTGGAGTCCCTGGGAAAGCAGAAAAGTTATATTTAGTAAAAAAAGAAGGATTTGAGAGCAGGATATAACATATTATATTACCATGTCTGCTCATCTCTCTTTAACTGTCTGTCTGTCTGTCTGTCTGTCTGTCTGTCTGTCTGTCTGTCTGTCTGTCTGTCTGTGCAGGCTCTTCAGGAGGCCATGATGAGCATGCTGTGGTGCTCGGGCAAAGGCGACGTTATTGATGACTGGTGTCGATGCGACTCCAGTGCATTTGGCACAGATGGACTTCCCACCTGCGCCCCACTTCCCCAACCCATGTTAGTAAAAACTAACATTACCTTCTCTCAGTTCAGCTCACTCAGAAGTGCAATGATAAATGCCATCTGTCATTTTATCAGCAGAAATCAATCTTCTGCTGCTAGTGTGGACTCTGGTAATGTGCCATTGGCCTCCATGGATGCTCGATATTTAATTGTGACCAAACAKAACAGCAATTAATGTTTTTTTCTCTCTCTCTTCTGTCTGCTATGGATGTGCTAATCAATTAAATAAGCTGCTATCTATTGACTGGTTGAGAGGAAATGTGTTTACCAAGTTGTTGGTGCTGCAGACATCTGGTCCAGGCATCAGATCTTAGCTGATAAATAACAATATGTCTTTAGACAGAAGTGTTTCTGACAATGCAGAGTGTGGTTTGCATTGGGGTTGCAGTTGAGCAAATCCTAAAATATTTTGTGAGCTGTCAATTGCAGCGATGAAGCCGTCTTTGTTGACATTTTCTGTTTGTTGTGCTGTTGCCAGGCTGAAGCTGTCCTACACCTATGAGCCCAGCAGCTCATTGGTCATAATGGAGTGGAACCACACCGAGCCTCCAATAGGAGTGCGGATTGTTGATTACCTCATCAGTCAGGAGAAGGTGATAGAAAGRACCGACCATTCTAAATTGGAGACAGGTACGTTTGCTCAGAATGTTTAGAGTTTGTTGCTATAAATAGCACCCCCCAAGTTGGACAGTGTGGACATTTACTGACAGTTCCTGAGCAAYATGGGATAGCCTAACATCTTTATGGAACATGAATCATACAAGTGTTTGGTAATAATTGACACATTTGTCAAAATGGGACTTTTTTTTACCTTTTTAAAAGGACTTTTCCCAATATGACTCAYGGTACTCACTGTTTCCACAGACACTGACCTGCTAAAAGGATTTCTTGGTGTAATATCAGTTGTCTGAAAAATCTGTAGCTGTTGATTTGTCTGGACAGCTGCTTTGCATTATTTACCCTGATGCAAAGTCTCTTGCCAATTTAGGAACACCGCTGTGTCAGAAAAGCCTGATTTTTGAAATCATTTCAGATAAATGGATGAAACCTTGATCCTCAGGTGAGAAAGCTGGATTCAGTTTACAACAAAAGATGATCCAGTACGGCATCATCTTCCTGTGACATTGCTGTTAATGTATGAACTTTAAACCTTCTTTAAAGTAGACATACTCTCTAAATTTCATTCAGCTAATATAAATACACTGCAAAAAATGCCCATCTAACCAAAATTACAATCTTATATTCAACCAAAAAAAACATTTTTGATCTTATGTTGACCCTGATGATTTAAGCAAGAGCAGAATGTATTACATTATTAATCTTGTTTGCCTGGAAATTTGACATATTCCAAGAAAAGTGCAATGTCTTACTTCTTTGGCAGATTATTTTACTTAATTCGAGAAGATGCAGACATTAATCTAGTATTTAAAACTTATTTTTAGTTGGCTATTTTTTGCAGTGTTGTAAAAATCTTCAGAAAAATACTCAAGTCTAAATCCCCAATAGTTTCTTATTTTATTCAGCCCTTCAAAGAACAGCGATACCCATATAAACCTTTGAATACAACATAAAACACATATCAGGGAGGTTGTTTGTTTTTAAGCTGGATAGTATGTAATCTTAAAAGCCACCACAAGATGGTGTACATCAGTAACTATAAAAACTTTCAGTACATAACTTTCACCTTAAAAAAGATTTTATATGACAGATGGAGCCATGGTTTTAACGGTAATGGCTTTATTATGACATGAGGTTTTTAACCAATAAATGTTGCACACAGCAGCATGATCAGTCTGACTAAATCTGTCTACTGACAACATTGACAACATTGATTAAACCCTTTTTTCTGCTACAGTAAAGCTTGTTTACGTGTTCATTAAAGGTACTTTTGTATGTTCCTGTTTATTCCATATAGAGTTACCCATTAAGGTATGTTTTTCATAATGTTTGCTCTAAAATCAGGAAGTGGTATAACGAGCTGTGGGACTAGGAGGGGGATAACAACTCTTGACAGAGAGCACTGATTCTTGGCTGGCTCTAAATTAGCTGAAGCTGGCAAAACAGGGCAAGTTTTTTTCTGGCAGTAATGACCCAATCTATAACACCAGACTGTTACAGCTTTCTGTGAGGACCCAAGATTGTTGTAGCCTAATGAGAGAATAAAATGCATTTGTCAGAGCTGTGAGGAATCTTAATCAATACTGCAGTTTGAGAGTGGAAAGAACAGACAAGCTTTTTTTTTCTACATGGATGGTAAATTGGTGAATATGAATGTCAGAGCTAGCAAAGACAGTCCACCTTTGTGTTGCAAGATTTCACAGACTGTCACACATACTGCCAACTCTACTCTGTGACTTCATCCTTTGCTAATTCAAAAGTGTGGCACGATTATGTTGACCCCATTCCAGTTCGATCTTYACACCAACTGCAAAAGCAGATAAAAGTTTCTCTCAGCTCCAACTTGAAAGTATTGTGTGAAAGGGACTGGTGATGTTGTCTACACTATGTTATGCTAAAGTTCTGTGACAAGCTTTAAAACCATTGTGAAAATGTGTGGCTAAATCATGTGAGATAATACCTAATCTTTAGGACTTTTTCTGAATTATTCCCTTTGTTTAGATGGTAGTGATCTTTTTAGGCACCACAGGTTCAAACCTGGCTTTGGCTTTTCTTTATAGAGATTGTACTTTCTGTGTATGTGTAGGTTTTCTGTGAACTGGTTTCCTCCCAAAGACCAACAACATGAATATTCTAAGTAGGGATGCACAATATATCGACAATAATATCGGTATTGGCCGATATTGGTTATTTTTTAGAATATCGGTCTGATATGTAAATCTGGGCTGCTATTAATGTCCAATATTGATTTCCAACTTTTTAGCWTTGTGTTTCTGTTTTGGGAGGGGAGATGGTTGGTTGAGTGGTATCTGTTTGATTATGATAGTGATATTGATGCTGTGTGGCCAGGAATAACTGAAGTAGGAGCCATGTCAGAGGTCTGGTCAATTATTTACAGTATCAAAAAAATACCCAAGTGTATTTGTGTGTATATGTACTGTATAAACACAATTTGCATATTTGTGTAATATCGGTAAATATTTACGTATTTGTATAATATCGGTAAATATCGGTTATCGGCCATAACAGCAATAATTATATTGGATATTGATATCGGCTGAAATTTTCATATCGGTGCATCCCTAATTCTAAGTTGTCACTAGTGGTAGAACAAAAAGTTGTTTGTCCCTGTGTGACCCTGTGTCAGATCATCARTCTGTCTAGGGTTAGGGTTGAAAGTACTACATGTACAACTGACTAAATGTGAAATAAATAATATAGAAATACTAGTAAAAGTAAAAGTTTTACTCACTGATGAGTTGTGGTGAGTAGCTGCCATCTTAAATTCTGAACTTTCCCACTTTCTCACAGGAATTCCTTCTAGAGAGGTATTCCAGTTTAAATTCAGGATTTGTAAGTGGGGAAAATTCCACTTCCCACTATAACTGGGCTGCAACAAAAGCAGCCAGTAGCTGTCAAAATGTGCCATGTAAAATCTTCATTTCRCTGCATTTTTACCGACCGCCAGCTACTTTTGAATCCTGTGCACCTGCACSTRGTGGTGGGATACCATCATTTTGCATGATGTGCATTATGGGAGATGGCTATGAAGCAACATACACTTATTTTAAGACATTAATRCATCTTTGAAGCTYTTGCGGATCACAAAACGTGCAGTKGCGGGCCACATTTGCTGGCTGGAAGGCCTAGAGTGTGAAAAATATGGTCTCGGGTCTTTCTCAATGACATCGGTGATAGACAAGACTTCCTAGAAAAACAAAGTAGATGGATATTATTTTTTAATTTGGTTTTTATTAAATTTTAAACCATTTGCATCAAAAACAAAAACACCCCTCAAACCAGCACCAACCCATGACACACTAATGAGGCAACTGAGAATGTTAATAGCATAAACAAACAAAAAAAGTTTACAGACAGGTTTGTGGTAGTATTTTTGTTAGACCTTGAAAATGAGCTGAGAAATTGAGATAAAAGCCCAGTCAAGCATCATATTTACATTCTGACCATTTGTTCAGCTGAAATCTCTATTCATTTATATTTTGTCAAAACCTCTGCAGTGTAACTGTGTACTTTTTGTCATTGTGCATTTTTTGTTTACTTTTAATGTACCAATCAGTGTGGCATACATTTTTTAATGCATCAAAATAAATGCAGAAATGTTGTGCGGCAGTAATACAGAATGACAAATGTAGCATTTTTATACACACTGGACTGTTGTAAGTTATTGCTTGTGATATAAAATTGAACTATGTGCCTGTAAAATACATATTGCCCCCTTTAAATGTCAATAATCAGCAGATGCAAAACATGTTTCTTTGTTGATATTGATCTAAGTCACACCATCTGGTTAGAAAGGGAAAGTGTAAATTCTCTTTTGTGCAGACACTGTGGGTTATCTAAACTCTTTTACCCACTGGAAAAGATGCATTTCATTTCAGGAGCAAAACAATCCATTCAGAGAAAGTGAAACTCTCTAATCCATTTGAACCTCCTTCACCTCTTTACACCCAGCAGACAATAAGAACAGGTCAAAGTATTTCATTGTTTACCAGAATAACATTCCATTGCTGCAGGGTATTGATTGAGGTTGTCAAAACTTTTACAGCTCCGTCTCAACACCATTAAGACCCTCTGATGTGTGAAACTGAACAGTGCAGCTCTAATTGCACCGAACGAAAGCTTCTCTAGCTCTGGTTTGTGTAATTCAGTTGTATCTAACAGGGGTAGAAACAAAACACAAAGCAGGAGAAATTTATTACAACTTCCCCCTTTTGCGTCTCCATTTGAGAAATTGATTGATTACAAAGGGGGATTCTGGCAGAGGTGGCTGAGTGTCGATGATGCATTAAGTAGAAAGAGAGAAGGGAAGGAAACTGAAGAGGTTTAAAAAGATGGAAAGCTTTGGAAAGCCCTTTGCGCGCCGTGGTTTTGATTTCAGCTGTCTGTTTTCTGTCATCGAAGAGAGTCAGTCTCACACGGACTGATGTTTGGTTCTTTGCAGCTAATCCTCTTTGGCTGCCTCTCCTTCACCATTTCGTCAGCGTTCATTACCCCCCCCCCCCMCMCACACACMCACACCACCACCACCACCTTCCTCCATTGCCTTTCTCATCCTGCAATTTGTATCTCTGATCAATTCATCTCGTTTCACAAAACTCCTTTTTTATCCTTGCCTCTTCTTTGCACTTTTCCTCAAGACTTCTAAGTGAGAAAGTACCCTTTTTATGACCTCTCTTTTTTAAACCATATTCTCCTCGGTTATCTTTTCTTTGTTTATTGTTTTTTACAGGAGGCATCAAGGCAGGGTAAGTCAGGGTTCAAGCAGAATTTGTGGGACGAAAAACTCATAGACTATACATCCAGCCTACAAGTCCACATCCGTATCTGGTTGAAGTATAGGGTGCACATTAGGTGCTCTCAGGCTGTTAAAGTAGTTTTCCAATAACAGCTGCTTATGAAAGTGTGGTAAAAACCTCCGCTGTACAGGTGACGGCAATCTTTATGACATAATTTACGACATAATAGACTAAGAGCTATGATGGATGCATTGC